GTACATACCACCACCCCTAACCAAGCAATACTATACGATAACTCAATATTTAAACCAAGGTTGCCCTTTCAATTTAACTGTACCATCAAAACTATAATTAGAAAAAAGTAATATGATCCTAACAAATATTACACACAGCAGACGCCATAGCAAGTCAATGATCATTGATTTTATCATTTCACACATACTAAAATAGTATCAGGTTTTATGAATAACTCCCTAACTTGAAGATATTTTTGAAAACATAAGTCGTTTCATATTAAACCAATTGTACATTATCATCATAAACAATAATACAAGAAATATTTCAAAAAGTAATTATATACGAAATGTAATTATTTAAGAAACATTTGACTTACAATAAATTACTTTACAGTCTATTTGTGGAAATATATCAAATTCATTCATGTACACAAATATCACAGAATTCCTTCTATTTCCTATCTGGAAACATTTTAAGTCTTCTGAGTTCCTATATATATTTTTATATTATATAGTTTAACAATAGTCTGGTCTAATAGTACCGAATATATATGAAAGGGCAGGTAATCAAGACTAAGTTTAACAATATACAAAACTATTTTAGTGTTGTTATAATATTTAACCTGTAAGACTGAGTGTGGTATATCACTGTAATATATTGTTAAAAAAAAATACTTTTTTAATAAAGATAAAAATATTATTAGAAAGATTGCGTGATCTCAAATAAACGTTCCTATCTAAAACATTAAGGTTGTACATAAAAGGAAGCACAGGAAATGTAGGAAATTTAGTTGGAGGCAGCTTGTATAATATCAGGAATCATAAAACTTGCGTTCCTCTCTAATCTGTATAATAAATCTGGTTTGGAAACCCTAAAATCCAGGAGACGAACTCACAAATTAATTAGTGCTCGCCAATTTTTTTAAGCCAATCACCGACGAGGATTTTTCAAATTTTCATGTTACAAATCTTAATAGAACAGATTTTATATAAACTTGACGTTTTATATTATAAAACGCAAGTGGGCGGATCACTAAGCCGGTTAGAGTGCATATTGGATGTTCTTCGTAAATAAGAAAGCTACAGTCGCTTCGCAAGCTCCGCTGCTTTTTAGCTTTCTTATTTACGAAGAACACCGAATATGCACTCTAACCTATACTTATGTTCTACAAAATAGTAAATTATGTGGTTCCCTTCATATCTCTAAAGTAAAGTACCTGGCAATATTGAAGACATTACTCAATACAAATTTAAAAATGGTTCTAATTTTACAAATATCCATTGTTACACCACGTTTTCTACAATTATTTTCTTCATTCTGCTATAAAAAAAGATTTGAACTAGTAACCTAGAAAATAAGAAGTTTAAGCATTCTGGGAATATTTTATGCTTCTATTATGACACTTGTATATGACTCATAAACATTACTGCACTATCAAAGAACTTTTTGTTAGTAAAAATATTATTGACATTGATACATTCTTTAAACAATTTACAAAAATGACAGATATCCGTGACCGCCCGGTGTAAAGAAAATCAATCAATAAATCAATAAATCAATCAGAGAAGAAAGCCTATAACATTTGTTAATGTCGTTCCTTTCATAGTCACAAGCCACTAGCATAAAGCACACACAAAAAACAACAATAAAAACAACACCAACAAAAAATTAAAAAACAAATAGGTCATACATAATTTATATAATAACATATACGTGAATAATATTGCTTAAACTTAAAACATGAACAAACATATGTAAAATGGATTTCATGATCTAACAGCTCAGATGAACAATCATGCTATTGAAATACTGTTTTTCAAATTGTATACATAAATGAGACATGACCCTGCAGCATATACCCGCATACAATTTAAACAAATGAGAGGAAATACTTTGTGGAAGTTCAATAATAAACCAGGAAATAATTAATGTTTTAAATCATATATTAATTAAACAGCATTTTGTTATTGAATATAAAGTGAGAGAATGATTTTCAACAGACAGTATACACAGAGGATTTCTTAATGACTGCACATTTTGACATTATTATGGATAAACCTATTATAGTATTTACGTTGAACGTTTTCACATACATTTTAAACTGAACTATTCTTAAATTACACGCCACCAGTGCCAATCACATATTTTTTGTGGCCAGTAATAACACAATAAAATTATATTACATGATAAAAAATTACAAATCGAGCCTGCGACATTTTCAAGTTTGCTGTTATAGGGTTTCCTATTCAATAATTAACAACAATCTTCATAAGTATCTTAAATCATTTTCCTATATTTTCTTAAAAAATACCATACAGTTATTGTATCAAAACATGAAGCAAATGTGACATTTGTAAAATTACAAATTAACAACAATGTGTTCCGGGGAACGTCTGGTGATATTATATGACCTTAGTGCACAATAATAGGGAAAATATATAAATGACATCAATATAAATGTCTTCATAAAAAGTCAATATAACATATTCTTTAATTAGTTAAAAAAAAAACATTATTAAAATGTCACTTGTATCCGGGTAATATACAAATATATCCTGCGCATGCGCATTATCGGAATTATAGTAATGTCTCTTCTTGATACATAACCCAAAGTTATAAAATTATAAAAACCGCAAAGATAATTAATAAAGGAAGAAACGCCCTTTTAAAATAAGGTGTGTGCAGGAACAACTTATAACACTGTCTTGACCATTAATCACGATGTTGAAAACATTTAAGTAATAAACTGTCTGCAATATAGTTAAATTATATACAAGTTTAAAACATAAACAACTCCCTTTTTTGCATTTAATCAAGATAGCTGTTCTGCATTTAATGAATAATTAATTCTCATAAACAACCCAAAATTATTCATACAAGTTTAGTTAAAAATACACATATTTTTCTTTTATCTTATATGTAAACATTTTAACTTGAATGTCTTATACCACATACCTTTATCTTTTTACATCAGTTCACAATAAGTGACAAAATAAATACAAAACATACATCACAATACATGTATTTGATACAGTAAACAGCAAAAGGAGAGAGAAAACGTATATTTAAGTAAAATATTTTGGGAGGAAAAAAAAATTAAAAAGAACACATTTTAATTTATTGCTGACTTATCTCGTTAAATTATTATTATTATTATACGTCATGTGATATCAGTGTCAGTTATTTTTTTAAGTCATACGTTACATATGACAACAATCTATTTACGGGCTAGCAGTTAGTTGTAGGTTTACAAAATAACCAACAGATTAGTTGATTTTAAAATGTAACACGTACAAGATTAAATGATTACTAATAGGAATTCAATTTAATATTAATAGGAATTCAATTTAATAGACAGACAGACAGACATATACTTTTATTTACAATCAGGTTCTACAGTACATAATACATGAGAACAACATGATTTAATCACTTAGACAAAAATAGAATATATATACACATGGCAGTTTGCATGCAGATTATGGTATGAATATAAATTGTGGAAAGGGTATTTACTAAAATTAATTATCATTATTATTTTATCAACAAAGGGGACAGTTTAAAATTATATACTTATATTTGATGGTCATCAAATCTTAAATTGTACAATCACTTTAGCGTTTATATAGCAATTTACGTAGTACACATTCACAAGTGTGGCACTGCAAAGTGGGTGTTTACAGTTCAGTAATTGGAGATCTCGTGCGACTTGTGAATGTGTACACGTGTGTTTATATAAATATGGAATACAGTTTATAAATGAAGAAATGAATGGATTAACACATGAGTTGAAAAAGTAACAACAAAAAGATTCAATCGATTGACTGGGTAAGTTATTTCTTAACATTGTTTATCTATTATTATTTTTTTTTATATATATATATTTGGAAACCGTTGCTTTATGTTTGTTCAATAATTGCTCCCGGTTACATTACGAGTGACAACTGAAGTACTGTAAAATATAGTAAACAAAAACAAACAAAATATAGGCATTACAGGTAACCTCTGAAGTATAGGAAAATAAAGTAAACAAAAATCAACAAAATGTAAGCATCTGACAGGTTAAACAAGGCAATATTCTTCATAAAAAGTAAATAAACAAATTTAGCATATTGAAAGAAAGCTATTGTATTTTTTGTATCTAGGCTGTATCTCATATAAAATGAACAGGAATCATTTATTGAAAAATGACATTATACGTTTAGAGAAAATAGCAACATTTTTTAGTAAAGAGAATGAAGTTGATTGCATCAGTTCTTTGAATTTGAGTGTGTTCGGTCTATTGTAATATTTACTTGGAATTAGGCTTCTTCTACTAAGACAAAAGAAAGGGCATTTTAATATATAGTGAAATTCATCAGCAATATCATTTTGATTACATAAAGTGCATTTCCTTTGATCATGTTCTACAAAAGACTGGCGCCATCTACCAGTTTCGACTGGTAACCAGTGGTTGCCAGTTCTAAAATGAAAAAGATTAATACGTTGGTTATATGGTAAAAGTTTTAGGTAAGGTTCGAAAATTGGTGCATCTTTAAATATCATATAGTTTCTTCCTTTAGATGAATTCCTTAGTAAACCGGACCATGTTTGATAAAACTGATCTATTAGGCATCTGTTAATTTTCTTGTGAATATTACGATTTTCTGTTAGATTTTGATTTAACCAAAAATAGGTATTACCAGTATTATCAAGTATATTCTGTACATGACGAATCCATTTAAAATTTAACGCAGATCTATACATATAGTTATAACATAGTCTAGATATCTTATTTTCATGTGAAGTACAAAGTTTAGACCAAAAGCTGATTATTCTCGTTTTGATTATTATCTCTAGGGGATAACGACCTAGTTCACCGTATAACATATATAAAGGTGTACTTTTTCTGCAATGAGTTATTTTTCGGAGAAAATCAGTATGTCAATATATGTGCAGCTATTATATTTTCATTTTATGGCACAAAACAACAGAGGCACCTGAATAGAAAATAAATTGTTTCATTAAATTTTAAAGACATCACAACCTAATATACATATTGCTATGACTTCGTTGTATTTAAAAAGTTGTTTATAAGTTCCACGTCACGCATATCCTTGTTAGGCTCGTTTCTCACAGTTTTATACCGGATCAACTGTTTAAGTGACACAAATTTTATACCATAACAATAACCGAAATTATCAGGATCATAAAATAAATCCCATTTGTCTTTTACTCCACTGACTTTAAAATGATCTTCACCCCAAGGACGTTCATTAGATATTGAATTATTTTTGAAAGCATGTACTTGAATTGACATTCCATTCTTATTTCCCAAAATGGACTTATCGATTTCATTTGAAAATAAAAGGTCTACATCTGTCCGTTTTCGGAGTCCAAAAAAGCCAAGAACAGTTCCGGAGTCCACCATGACGTCATCTCTGCCAATATAAATTCCAGGAAGTGTTTTGATTGACTTTTGCGAGGTTCGTCTAGCGATTTCTTCTGCTATTAATTTACAATCGCTCGGATCTTTAGCGTAGTTCATAAATTGTACCGAGTTGGGATTTAGAATCATTTCTGCTAGAATTAAATTTTCTTCCATGTTATCTGGTATATGAGCTGTTGATTTAAATATCTTGTCATCATAATGTTTTCTGATTTTAGCTTTGCATTTAACTAATTCACTCTGCTCCTTAGCATAAATAAACAGAAATCGAGCATTAAATGTAGAACTGAATTTTGCTATCATTTGTTGAATCTTTGTTTCTAACCAAGACTGTCGGCCGTACATGTGCGATATTAACTGTCTTGCTCCCTGTTTTGTCAGTTCCACAGTTGTTTCATATAGAATACCGTTATCTTTAGAGCAGCTGCTTTTAACAATTGTTCGCATTGCATCATCTTTATTCTTATCATTTGAAAATATTGAAACTATAGAAACATGCGTTTTCAGCTCGGGCAACTTTCTCTGTATCTTCATCCATTCCAGCATGACTATTTTGAAATATCTTTCCGTCAATCCTAAACCTTTAAAAAACTTATAACCCCACCCAATATGTTCGGCGTATGTTTGATGTTCAAAACTTGCATTTCTAGATAGGATTACAGATGATGATATTCTATGTGCACCATTTAACAGAAAACCATTTTTATCAACCGGTATTCTTGATCTATCAGCACTAAAACCATGTTCTTTAATGTTTCCTATTGTGCTATGGAAGGCTGAAACGAAGTCAGAGCTATTCTTTTTCGTTTTACACTCTACTTTAGAATCATACCAAACTTTCTTTAGCCCACAACCTTCTTTAAAATGGTTCCATACTCTCAGATGTTCAGTATATGCTTCTTGTACAACAGGTGGCACTTTCTTTTCAAACACATAGAAATATGCATAAACCATTTTAACAACAACGTCAAACCTGTCTGTGTTCAAATATAGTGAAGGATTCTCACTTAATGTTAATTGTTCATCTTTACTTTGAACTTGTGGACTAGCATTATCTAAATCTAGTGTTAAAACTATTACTTCCGGATTTGTAATTTTCCCGTTCGAGGATATAAAATTTAGATGACTCTCTCGATGTAAAGACTGTAACAGTGAGGAATCAGATATTCGTATAAATGTTTTATCATTACTGTGTGTGTATTCAAATATTGACTTTCCGCTGCCTTTAAACACTTGAGCATATTTCCGCGAAACAGCCTGGTTAAATTTGCACATAAATGGCGATAAATAACCCGGCTTCACATTTTTACAGTCTTTGTCATTTTTACTATCTGACTGTACTGACTCACATTTCAACAACTGGATAAGAACAGTCTGTTCTGTTTGTTCAAGCTCTGATTTAAGATATGTTTCTAAAGTTTGTAAATCAATATCAACTGAATCATCTGTATTTAAGATCCAGTCAGGATTTCCGTTTTGTAAGACCCAGTGATAACTGTTTTTGATACTACCTGGTATATCTTCATAAATATCCGTGGAGTTCATAAGTATAACGTTAGGTTCATCACGCAGCTTTTTCGTTATTTCTTCTTCCTTGTCTAGGTATGTTTGATCACGTGCAACAGTTTTATCTTTAGGTTCACATTTTCCAGATTTGCGCTGTTCTGATGGATATGCACAATACAACCCGCTCACTAAGAAGTAAACATGTGTATTATCTTTGGCCCAGGATTTTCGAATAGTTTCACGTCTGGAAAATGAGTTACGGTTACTAAATATAAGCACGGCGACATTGACGTCATATGACAGTAAGGAGTGTAAACTTGAATCTTGAAACGATTTCGTTTTGGAGTTAAACCGTTCAATATAAGAGTTTTTATTGTAGCCCGATGACATGAAAAATAATACAATAACAATGCTGAACAAAGTCAAAAAATATATCGTACGTTTACGAACTGATCCCATTATCAAATTAAATTGTTATATCTTAATGTTCTCGTATATTTGTTATTTTCACTGAAGTGTATGGTGAACTTGTACTTGTCACAATTTCAAGGATTTTAACAGAAATACATTGACATAAAACATCAGATGGAATATCCTTGATTACTGTTGATGATTTGACCGCCTGAATAATTGATGTTATCACAACCCTATCACTCCAGCCCGTGCAGATGTAAATGTCTATATGTGGATGTAGATGTCTATGTGTTGATGTATATGTGTAGATGCAGGTGTCTTTGTGTAGATGCAGGTGTCTATGTGTAGATTCATGTGTCTCTGTGTAGATGCAGGTGTATATGTGTAGATGCAGGTGTCTATGTGTAGATGCTGGTGTCTTTGTGTAGATGCAGGTGTCTATGTGTAGATGCAGGTGTATTTGTGTAGATGCAGGTGTCTTTGTGTAGATGCAGGTGTCTTTGTGTAGATGCAGGTGTCTATGTATAGATGCAGGTGTCTATGCGTAGATGCAGGTGTCTTTGTGTAGATGCAGGTGTCTTCGTGTAGATGCAGGTGTCTTTGTGTAGATGCATGTGTCTTTTTGTAGATGCAGGTGTCTTTGTGTAGATGCAGGTGTCTATGTGTAGATGCAGGTGTCTATATGTAGATGCAGGTGTCTATGTGCAGATGCAGGTGTCTATGTGTATATGTAGATGTCTTTGTGTAGATGTAGTTTTCTACAATCTGAAAATATAAACAACAACATTTATTATTCAGACTCGGAAAAGTTTAAAACTGCATGATTTCATAAAACATTTAGAAATTGTTTAAAAGTAAAAATATTTGAAGTAAACAAAGTTAGAAATTTACACTTTGCAAATGGTACTTTACCATTTAATTGACAGGTAAAATTATCATAAGGAGGTCAAAAGAAGCTAGAATAGCCTTTATTGAGTTAGTCAGGCAGTTCCTTAGATGTGATTTTCTTAATACTTTGGCTCATTTGAAGCATGCAACGTTTAAAATTTTGTACATCATGATATTAAAATCAACATCAGAAAACTACATCCATTCAAACAGATGTGCTGCAGGAGATGATTTTCTGTTCATACATGTACATGTATATAATCTGTATATAAAATATGACAGAATGAAAAGAAGCAATGGTACAAAATTAAAACATCAACAACAATAACAACAAGAACTGTCGGAGAAAAGTATTGGCTCGACTATTCGGAAGGTTGTCACAAGGGTGTTTTATTGAGTATAATAATGCTAATTACCTATGAATACATAAAATTGACCGAAAAGGTACAAAGGCTTGTTATTAAGATGTTTTATCAAGTAACTCATTGCTTTATTATTATGAATGCATAAAATTGTCCCAAAGAAGGCACACAACCTTCAGTAGTTATGGAGATAACAGCTTAAAAGCAAACCTTTACCATGAATTTCTAAGTTGAAAAAGGGGAGAAAAATCAGCCTAAATGCAAGATAGAATTATGGATCTTAGTCAATGATCTACAATTATGACCCTAAATGCATATGTGAAGTTTCAAATAATTATCTTTAATAGTTATTGAAATATGTAAAACTTGCATGTAAACCAAGAGACTAAGTAGAAAGGGGGAGATGAATCAGCCTAAATGCAAGATAGAGTTATGGAACTTGGTCAGTGACATACAATTATGACCCTCTAATTATGACCCTAAGTACATGTATAAAGTTTTAAGTAAATAACTTTGAAGACCTTTAACCTTTCACCAAAATTTCTAAGTTTTAAAGGGGCAAAAAATTCTGCAAATATTGCAAACATTGTTACTATAAAAAGTATTGTAAATTCCAATTGAATATCTCAAGCAATAATTGAGATATTTGACTTTACAAAAAAAATTTAACCAAAATTTCTAAGTTAAAGGGGCATAATTATGTAAATATTGTAGGCAGAGTTATCCAACTTGTCAATCTGATGAACATTGTTACTATAAATAAGTATTGTAAGTTTCAAATGAATATCGCCAGCAATAATTGAGATATTTGACTTTACAAAAAAAACTTTAACCAAAATTTCTAAGTTAAAAGGGGGCATAATTCTGTCAATATTGTAGGCAGAGTTATCAAACTTGTAAATCTGATGTACCTTGTTTCTATAAATAAGTATTGTATGTTTCAATTGAATATCTCAAACAATAATTGAGATACATTTGTATTTGACTTTACAAAAAACTTAAACCAAAATTTCTAAGTTAAAAAGGGGCATAATTCTGTCAATATTGTAGGCAGAGTTATCCAACTTGTCAATATGATGTACCTTGTTACTATAAATAAGTATTGTAAGTTTCAATTGAATATCTCAAGCAATAATTGAGATATTTGACTTTACAAAAAACTTTAACCAACGCCGACGCGGACGCCGACGTCGACGCCGGGGCAACTACAATAGCTCTCATATTCTTCGAATAGTCGAGCTAAAAATCTACATGATGTTATTAAGCACAAAACAGAATGATTATAATGTGAAGATAATGTAGCCGTCTCTTTTTATGATTGATATACATGTATATCCAATATGCGCGACATGTGAACAATCGGAGACATAAACAAACTAAAAATACATAATGCCTCGGTAAAAAGTTATTTGCTTCTGGGGCGTATCCTTTCAGTCTTTTCAACAATATAATTGACAATGACCAGAAAGTGATCAAAATTTCGAACTCACCAGCTTCTTCTGTGCTTCGTATAATGCTAATATATATGAGCCGCGTCACGACAAAACCAACATAGTGCGTTTGCGACCAGCATGGATCCAGACCAGCCTGCACATCCGTGCAGTCTCATCAGTGTCCATGCTGTTCGCTTACAAACCCTATTACAAGTAGAGAAACTGAAAGCGAACAGCATGGATCCTGATCAGACTGCGCGGGTACGTAGGCTGGTCTGGACCCATGCTGGTCGCAAACCCATTATGTTGGTTTTATCATGACGTGACTTATGTTTCCTTCGATAAAAAAAAGGAACAACATAGGTTTGATAACATGTCAGATGATTTTAAGCTATCTTAGATGCTTATCACCTGAAGAAAGTAGCGATAACTACGAAATTATTAAAAATAGAAAAATGTAAATAAAGTAGTACATGTATTTTCACTTCCATACAAAAAACGAAATCACTGTCAGTGTACTAATTGACAAAATGTAACAGAAGCAAAAAAAGGTTCAGGTTATTGGTTGATATGTTTCTCATTGGAAACAAATCAAAAATATTTTGAGGAAAAAAAGCATTTAAGGAGCATAATGGGCATCTAAAGACAAATACAACATTTCCTAGTTAGCTCAAGTGATTTCAATTTCCATTTCTGCTTTCTTTAATTCATTAAAATCATCTCAATATTGATCAGAAGGCTATAAAGCAATTATTGTCATGTTCAGAATTATTGATTTACCTGATCAACAGATAATTTCTACCGTTAGAGCTATTGTACTGGTTCAGGTAAATTACCATCACATCACGTGACCGTTGATTTGCGAAATACACACAGACAAAGATTAATCTTTATTTTAGTATCTTCTCAAGTTCTCTTTCACTCAGGAGAAATTATTCATGAACGTTTCATCAAACTTCAGGAAGCCGGGAAACAAAAATGAAATATAAGAGTTTTAATTCTAAATACTGTAAAGGACTAAAACAAAAAAAAATGGACTCTATTGTCTTTTCTTATAGTTGACGCCATTAAACATTGATTAAAGCTTCCATATCAATACAGACATCCGACTCTTTTAAGGAATCCCATGCGGCTCTCAGCTAAAAGAGGTTAAAATAGCGGCTCTCAGCTAAGAGAGGTTAAAATAAATATAAAATAGCGATTCAATTGTTCTGTCTTGTTTCAATAAAAAATGTTTTTGAAATAACATAATTTAAAAGCTCATCAAAATCATTGAAACTTGCATAGAAAACAAGGAATTTAACAGCAAAAAATATCAGAAAAATAAAAAAAATATAGATCATCCATAACGTAATATATGCATGTTTATTATATAATCTATAAATAGCTTTGAAATGCCTTTCCCTGATTGGCTAACAAGCAACTTTTTGTAAAAAATAACAGGTCAATATCAGAGTATATTCACTGTTTTTTTCCCTAAAAATAGATTTTCAGAGTATATTCACCGGTTATTCTTCTAAAAATAGATTTTCCGGAAATCCCTAAAAGACGCGAGACTTTGACGTGACGTAACGCCAAGTTTGTTGTTTTTATTCTGAAAAAAAAAAACGTTGAGTTGGGTGTACATAAGAGTCAAATTAGTCTATTTTAGTTACCGTTTTTCATTTTTATGAAAAATAGGGATTAGCATGCCAATGGAAAGGGCCAACTTATGGAAACAGCTAGACAAGCTGAAAAATGATTTCCGTCGTATGCAATGGCAGATGTGATGAGCCATATAAAAGCTATTTATAAATTATATAATAAAACAGATATGTACTTTTTAGCTGTTGAATATGATGTGATATGTGCTGAAAAATTAATATTGACCTCGGCTATCGCCTCGGTCAATATTAATTTTTTCAGTACATATCACATCATATTCAACAGCTAAAAAGTCCATATTTGTATAATATGTATCATATATAGCCATAACACCTTTCTTTCATTGTATTTTACTTAATGCTTCAGATTTATATTTTGCATAAAACATATTTCACAGAACAGAATAGAACAGAATTTTATTTTGGATTTGTACATAGTACATCATCACTACAATATAAATACACACATTGTAAAGATGTCACGTTTCTATTTAACAACTAATATAGGATTAAATATATAGTATTGAATTTCGTGTAAAGCTGGAGAATGAACTATTATTTTACATCACTTAGACACTGACACGTTCATAATTAAAAAAATATTATTTTTTTTCGTTTTTCGTGGTATAGTTCCGGAATGAGCGACCATCACAGATTAAAACAACCATCCCCACATAACCTGGTAGGGTACATTTCTCATGTATATTATTACAACAATCCAAGCATGTTGAAATAGTATTAGTTATAAATATTATTGTCACAGCTGAAAGCATATATAACCCAAGGGCTTCATATCAACCTACGTTTATACTCGGCCATATCATACATGTATATCAAAACTCATTATCCAATACAATCCATTTATGCAAATCAGAATCCCCACTTCACAGACTCACAAAGGAACGCCGTGTCTGAGCTTCCGAAGGGCACTTTTGTCAGATATGTCAATATTTGTATTAAAGTCATTAATAAATACACTATTTATTTATCTATCTATCCATCTATCTATAATAAATACACAACAGGAACATTATATTCAATGTCACACTCACAAACTTTCACGTGAATATTTTAAATATTCTCTTCTTTAAAGCGGAATTCTGTAGCATGACGAGAAATACATCTTTACTTAAATTAATTTCACGCATTTTATTCTTAAAAGATAAAAGTTAATTGAATATAATTATGTTATTTAAGATTATAATTATAATGAGTTTTTTTTTTCTTTATCATTTATTTCTAATGTATATCACCACAGTTGATGATGAAAACAACAAAACACTTTATCAGCCGCTAAGTAAAAACATTCTAATATTATCTTAAAGGCACATTTTGCCGCAGAAACGAATAAATATTTCCATCTTTAAAAACGACAAAAATGAGTTTTAAAATGTATAAATAATAAATTTAAGAGAATGTTGGTATACTCATCACTCGAAAAAAGTAGCGACTTTTGTCAGTAGTATAATGAGGTAAACAAAGTAGTATTTTAACTCCTATACAAAATATTTAATCACTAAAACTATACTAACTGACAAAAGCGAAATTAGCAAAAGATGCTTGAGGTACATGGCCACTGAGTAGCATTTTGGTAACAATAGCAGGATACTAAACATAAAAAGTTTTTCAGAAATAAATTTTAAAGCACTTCTTCGGCATAATTGGCCTTTAAAGCCAATTCTGTCAAAACATAAAAACAAAAGCAATTATATTAGAAATGTGAAAAGATACAAGACTTAAGTTTATCAAAACTGATATAATTTTAATAAGAATAAACTTACATGACCATATTAAATCCTTTCTGAAGCTTGAAATAACTTTTAACAAACATTTAAAATATTATCATAGCATACACCCGGGTATGTTAACCACATCTCACCAGCTAAATTTGCCGAAACTCTTTACAAGGAGAATATTAAATAAAGTTGAAATTCTACACCTCATGTGTAGGATCCTATTTCACATTCGTGTTTGCTCGTTATTTAACGCAACACTAGTTCTCCTAGTTAGCTACAGTCAATATTTGTGTCTGTAAGGATACAGGTATATATGGATGAAGTTTAACTTAATAAAGGCCAATAATTAGTTTCTCGTTATAAAGGAAATACATCAAGGATAAAACACACTATCTATAAGGAACTATTTAGAGTAGGCACTTCTCGGAAATAGATGTATATCCGTTTATAAACTGTCTGCTCTTAAAGAAAAGGTTGTAAACCAAACATACTTCAATCGAACAACTATAATTCGAGGATTCCAAAGTGGTTTTAAGAAAATGTAACTAAATTCAAAGTTTAAATAACTCTATTTTTTATATTTTTTTTAGAATGAATAAAGCTCATTTTTTTTTGACAAGGAGATTAGTTCGATTTTACTTCAGTAATAAATAATAGAAGAGAACTGCGTTTATTAAATTGATAGACACGAATATGTATTTTTCCTTCATTAATCATATTAATAACAGGTGAGCATTTTGAAGCAAACAATGTGGTTTAAGCAATGCTCATCTTTTCTAATCCGAAAGGTGTCTTCAAAGCACTTCAAAGTTTTTGTTTTGTTTTTGTTTTATACCAGTTAAAAAGATATAATAATTCAGGAAGAAATGTACAATAATTTTTTTTTTGTAATAAATTTTACAATAGGAATGTCCAGTGTTCTGAAATCTTTTAATATATACACGGCAATCAATTTCAAATTGTAAGCACTGATATGATTTAATTATTTAAGGTTTTGCTGCATCAAATTCATAATACTTTTTCAAGATATAAACTTTAAATATGTACGGCAAAATACGATTTTGTACGTTAAAGTATTTACATATCGCAAGTTATTATTCTGGCGTTAACAAGAAATAATCAAACGGTTTATGTGTCGTTAATTTATGAAAAACACGTTTTAAATGTTATTACATATTAAACTATCAAATAAAACCATAACACACATTATACATGTAATTTCATTTATACCAACAATATACAGGGTTATTCCAGGGTTATTCATTATTCACGTGAGTGGCCGGTAATGTTCGCAATGACAGGGTCACGTGAATCAGTGGGCGGAGCTATCTCATCTGTGGGACGCACATGTACAGAACAGAACATACTCTTTATTTGGTAGACACAGATTACAAACTATTAAATTCTGCAATAACATGTGTGCAAATTTATAAACAAGATTATAAGCAGTGGGAATGGTCAATATATAACTAAGGAAAGAATATACATACAGACAAAGTAATTATACAATAAATATTGCTTATGGGTATATTATGCCGGCTCGCCACGGCGAGCCGGTATTACGGTAGGATTTTACTGAGAAACAACCTAAAACTCCGAAGCTATCCAAAAATTTAATCGAAGCTTGGCTTCCAGCTTTCTACAAAATTTATCTATCAGGGCTAGGATCCAAAATTATTTAGCCAATCAAATTTAATCTTACATAGCGTCAAAAAACCTTCAATTTTCACGCCATTTTTAAAAATCAGCAAGTATTGTTTTGAGCGCAAAGATATAATGATGATTAAAATGTTTGTCTGTATGAATTCTTTTCAATAAATCATATTTACACTGACTTCTGATTTAGCGATTTCACCTGTTTTCTCTGTAGTAAGTTTTCGTTTGGTTAATTAACATAAGTGTACATCTGGTTCTGTGCATTTTTTATTTTTCCTTTTTTTTCCGGTCATTTTATCCTTTCCGGTATTTAGTGTATGTATTTACTGGCCGGGATCCGGGACGCCCGGGATCCGGGATCGTATAAGATATGGAGGAAATTCCTAATGAACTATATTTGTGTTGATTGTTGTCGTAATGAAAGGCCATTAAACGTTAATTTAACGAACGTTAAATTAATTTAACTTAGAATATAGATATATTTAGAGCTATTTATTAACAAACTTAAAATGCGGAAATCACAATAGTTATAATTATATGCCTAATTAATTGGAAAAATCAAAGACTATTTTCTTGAATTGGTCAAATCCCGGGATCCCTGTATGTTTTAAAACGATCCCAGCTTTTCTGAAAACTATATACTTGAACTGGCCAATCCGTGAGATCTATTTACATTTTAATACGATCCCGGCTTTTCTGAAAACTATATTCTTGAACTGGTCAATTCCCGGGATCCCTATATGTTTTAATAGGATCCCGGCTTATCTTAAAATCATCTTCTTAGACTGGTCAATTTCTGGGATCCCTATATTTTTTAATAGGATCCCGGCTTTTCTGGCTGAATTGATTGACAACTTGTGTTTACTTTAGGACTTGTGCCTCTCATTCCAATACTAAATAACATACATGTATTACAACTTAATTTTGTATAAAGAGACATCTTTATGAAATCTACCTATCTAACATTTTGTGGTCAAGGTCAACAGGCCATATAGTAAATGTGCATAGACATAGGTTCTTCAATCTGTTTACATGCACCTTCATATATACTCATACTCATACTCATCTTGGTTAAACTGAGAGAACTTTATATGTCACTTTCAGTCAATGAGTTTAAGATTTTGAATTTACTGGCCCGAATTCCAGTTTTGAATTTATTCTACTAAATAATTAACAAAATTTTCTTAAATTTACACTGGCCTGAACTTATATACACTGGCCATCGGGCACCGGGCCAGTGTTGACTTCACTTTTATTTTGTTGTTCGCTGAAGTCTCTTCAGCTAACAGAACTGTCATTTTTACATTTAAACACACCCCTTGAAAAAAATTACGAAGCGAGTCGCTACTAGCTTTTTTAAAAGCTAACCTTGTGTATAATTACAATGGATTTCACGAATCAAGTAATACCCCTGCAGCTTTTACGACTCCGTAAAATGAGATGCACGGCCATGCATATATTTTGACGTGACGCCATTTGCATTATACAAGCAAAGCGTACAAAAACGCTAAATGTTAGCGTTGCACAATAGGCGTATTAATGAAACAAGAAGTTCAAGATGCGGTGTTACAATGCTGTCCAGAGGATATTGTCTATATGTACAAGACAAGTTCCTTGCTCAACGGACCGGAACCATTAGAGTAATTTTTGTAACGGACTACATAATGATCAATCTAACTTAAGTTCACATCTAATTATGTTTACATGAAGCTCTGACGATGACCGATACGAGATCACCGCCTTGTTACCTTTCAATCAGCCAATCAATAACCGCTTTCGCGTTCATGAAAGTGGAAACCAGAAAAGCAAACTCCTTAACATTTATAACGTCCTTTGGCAATACATCTGTATAAGGTTTGCCTTATCGTAAAATGCAAATTATTGCTGTACAGTTTCATTAAAATCTACTAAGTGGTTGAGTGTTCTTTTTTTTTCTTTTTTTTTCTTCTTCTTCTTTTTTCCAGCTCTGGTGGCCATTTTGCTTAGTGAGCCGGTGAACCGTATCAAAAGTAACAATTTTATCAGAGAACCATAAAATAAGAGGCCTATACACGGCAAAATTGGACCGGAAGGGGAAAATCTGCCCGCTAAAAAATAGTGGCCACGAGGGCTTGAGCTTTCTGGCCTGTTTCCGGCGTGTATTAATATATGTGATACAATTGTTGACATATAACAATTATACAGGGGTGCCACGGTTAGCAAAATTGCGAACCTTTTTAACTGCTACTTAATAACAGTGTAAAAGTTTAAAAACGACCGTTTTAAAAGACTTCTAAGAGTTGTTAACTTCAATATTCGTTCGTATTTTGTTATATTCATCCTATCTGATGATGAAGTACCATTGTCTGTTAACACTGTAATGTACATGATAAGAGAGCGTGCAATCGTAAAAAAACTAAAATACAAACAAAATGTCATATCTTATCATAAATAATATTAAGACCCGATTTAAAACTTCTTTGTTTGTCTTAAATACAATCCTCGGTTTCGGGTTATTTAATTTTCTTACCGTTTTTTCCCTTTTCTTTTTTTTTTTGGCTTAAAACCAAACAAATCCGTTTTTTTAAGAACGGATAAACGCGACACTCCAATATAAAATAGCATTTTTAGATATTGTAAATCTGGTATTATTCGCGATGCTTTAATTTTTCATTTTTTTCTGTATATTTATCAAACATATGTGTAAAACTAAAATCCCCATATCACCAGGAAGCAGTTATATCAAAATATGTATATCAATATACTGAAAATGTCATTCAATTTTAAGTAACGAAAAGTGGAGTTGTTTGCCTATATTAGTAAAAACTAATTAAAAAATTTAATTTACGAAATCAAGTCATCTGTGATTTTCCACTTTTTGATGACGTCACATTTGACAGGTCTTTTGCACGTGCTTTCGTTAAGCGGGTGAACTATATATGTTGACTTTTCGGCCCCGGGCCGAAAACTCATAAATGGTTACACGACATACATAATCAGTTGAAATCATTGTTAAATTTGTAACTATTTATAGTAGCAAATGTATCAAGGATCATTCGAATATATTTTTATTAAAATCTACCAAGTGGTAGAGGAGGAAATGTCGATATAAGGATTTTCTATTTTTAGCTCTGTCATCTTGTTCAGAGGACCGAAACCTAATATCATTCATCTCGTTCAATAATTTTGTATTGAACATTCACTCATTCAATGTCCTCTATCTCTTTTTTGAATAAATGAAAGCGCACATTTTATATTTTACGTTGACAAGAAGATTAAATCAGGGTTTCTATACTTATGAATAATAAGTTCTATTATCAAGACATGAATGTAGTAGACGTTGGAAATGAGACATTGACAGTCGCAAGCATGACATATCGATGCAGGTGGTAGATAACCCGCTGTCATGTTTATATATTATATATATTTATTTAATATCATTTTGATAAAATGATTTAAATGTTAATATGTACACTGTGTGAATATTGACATATTTTTCACCTTGTTACATGATGTTGATATGTGGGTAAAATGTAAGAGCTCACATCTATAGGTGAATAAACTATATGTTCTTTTATGTTTATATAGTTCTTTTATTTCAAAGAAAAGACCAACCATTATATAATTTCAGCAAAATAAGTAAATGCATTCATTTT